ATAGATAGACAATTTACCTTCACACAATTTCTTCAGATAACATGTTGCGACTTTTCTAATCAAAGACTCGCTTTAGAAACACAGACTGTTAATACCAGGCAATCCATATTTTCATAAAAACAAAAAGAATAATCATACCTATTATTATTATCAGATAACAATTTTTGCAAATGCATTTGTCCTGTTTATGCAATGTGGAGATCTGTTCTTCAACGCTTGACAATTCGTGTTGTAAATTACGCAATTCACCTCGCTTAGCTTCAAAAACTGTAAACATTTAAATCTATACCATTATAAAACTATTCACTTTATGTAAACAAGATATTGATTTGCCCCAAAAAAGCTAAATATAAAATATTAATATACAGTTTTTTATCAATAATTAAATAACCCTAGCAACCAATTAAAAGCACTAAACATTAATATTAATATATTATCATTTATAAAAAATCATGGTCTCTATATAAAATTTTTATCCGGAAGAGTAGGTTAAAATGGTATTGATAGTCTGCTTATTTATTAAAATTCAGCTTACGAAACGCTATGGTCCAATCACGACGAATTTGGATAAAATCTCATTCATTGAAGATAACCTTAGACTTTACACAGATGTTCGTATTGGAAAAATGTTAGTGAAGGTGAGGACAAAAGACTTCAGAATGGAGTGAACGCAAATTCTCATGGGTTTACGAGACGCAAAAACACGTCCGCGAAACCCAAGCGGATGATTCTGTTAATGCAGTTGCCATTGACCCTGGCGTTCGTACACTCTTCACATGGTACTCTCCTACTAAAGAAATTGGCAAATACGACATTGGGTAAAATATTCGTCTATGCAAACATATGGATAATCTTCTTTCTACAAAGGACGCCTCTAGCTCAAAACGTAAGAAGAAGAAGAAGAAGAAGAAGAAGGCCTTGCGACTTAATAATGCAATCTTTCGGATGCGGACGAAAAATCAAACACCTGTAAAGTGAAGTTTATAAAAAGAGTGCTGCGTTTTTCACTCGCAAATTTGATGTCATTATCGTTCCTCCTTTTGGGTATTGAATGGTAAATCGAAAACAAGAAAGACAACACGAAAGCCATTCGTAAAATGCCCTGTTGGACCATTATCAATTCTGGTGGCTAAAGCAGAAGAATTAGGAGGTGTATCGTTGCCAGGACAGTTTACATATATTAATGAACTAAGAAAATGTACAAATGCCTAAATTGTAGAATCGAGAAGAAAATACGCTCGGAGATCTTCCTCCGGACATTGCTTGCGGAGCCTTGATTCTCTCCGAAGATGATATCTCGTCAGGTGATCCTGTTATTAATTAAATTACGATAAGATTAGGATTCACTAATACTAAAGCTCAAGGTAAACGGCCAATTTAATATCAGTAGGTGACGTGACAGCCATTCTAATCTTGTAAATCATACGTATTAATATGACAATAATGATCTTAAATACTAAATACCCATGTCATTCTCTATGCTTGTAAGAAAGAAATGAATTTCAAAATGCGCCATTAATTTGGGTAAGAAAATTCAAGTTTCAATCTTTGGAACTTGGGATGGGGTGAAGCCCACATTCATTGGAACAAGCGCGTTTTGTAACATTGATTACCATCACCCTGTCATTGACAAGTGGGCTAAAGAAAGTAGGCTCATCTCGTTCATTGTAAGTGATGTAATGCATCATTTATGCGAGTGGTAGCTCTTACTTGCCATAATTGCTTATATTATTATTACACTTGTCACTGTTTGCATGATAAAATATGCCCCGTTCACAATAGCTTTCACCTGTTATAATTGCCCATGTTATTCAGTGCTGCACTTCACTGTCCCTGCCTGCATGATAAAATATATCCATCACAATAACTTTCACCGGCTATAATTACTCTCATGTCGCACCGTCCCCGTATGCATGATAAAACTTGCCCGTTCTCAGAAACAATTGTCCTACCTACGAGACGGTAATGAATTGCACAATTCTAATCCTTGCCATTCACAATGTTTATACTATGTCTACCGCAACGCTCAAGAGCATCATCGCAGTATTTACCGAAAGAATGTCTTGATGGCATTTTTATTAATTTTCAAGACGACAAAGGCACGTTATTCAATTGCTTATTCGTCTGTCGATACTGGTATTATGCAGCAGCCGAAATTCTATGGCAACGACCCTTTTCTCCTCCTTTCCGATCGAATCCTGTTGCAATTTGGGAAACTGATTATATCAAGCAGTCTAAGAAAAGATCAAGATTGATACAAGTTTATGTCTCATGTCTTGGACTGACGGAGGAATGGAGGTCAATGAACTTGCAATTAGAAGATTCAAAGAGGCCATTCTTTAATTACGTTGCTCTCCTCAGGGAGTTTCACTTGCAAGGATTATATAATTCTGTAAGAGAATGGGTAGATTACTATCAATTTGCAAAGGTAATGGAAGACAATGGACCTTGCAAAGGCCGACCTAAATTCCGTTGTCTAATGAAACGCTTAATAGTTGGCGAGTCGAAAAAGACTTTTCGAGTCCCGAGCACGTGCACTGATTTCTCTGTCGTAGAAAAAGTTGTTCCATTGCTGTGTAAGAAAATTCTGGATCATTCTCAAGCTCTTAGAGTCCTCTCTCTTGATATTGACAGATTTAGCAGATGCCTAGAACTTTATGAAAACGTTCAACATCATATTCCCTTAGAGTCGCTGTCAAAAATAACAAGCTTTGAATGGACGGTCAATAGACCCGCCGCATCAACATTCGTACGGTTAGCAGAGACAACTCAGAATCTGAAGACTGTAAAAATATGGCGATTGACAACTTACTGGTCTAAACATGCCGGTAAAGTTATAGTTGATACCCCTCAGCTTGTCAGATTG